GAGGAGGAGAAAGAGGAAGAGGAGGAGGACGAAAGGAGGAGGAGGAGGAAAGAAGGAGGAGGAGGAGGGGGAAGAAAAGGAGGAAGAGAGGGGAGAAGGAGGAGGAGGGGGGGGGGAATAAACAGGAGATGGAGAAGATGGAGAACGAGCAGTAGCGTAGGTCCACGACAACTGCGGACAACATTATTCAGCTCCAACTGCTTCAACTTTTAGGCCAGATTTGTATTCAGAGTAAATTTGGTGTGTCATAACGAAATCCCTCTTTGCCTTACAATTGGTCGTTTTTAAGCACAAGGGGGCTATCCCGAGAAATGCTGTTTCGAGATAATCGAAGGAAAGGTTTTTGCTCCTTATTCAGTTTCTTTAAAAGACAAGGAGAGTTTTCTTTATAGCCAAACAAATATACACATCAATGAAAGGTAGGGCAATGCCCATTTTTTGGTGTAGGTCAAGATTTCTGGAAACCCCGAAATATGGGTTAACTCTTTAAACCCTGGGGGGTTTTTTCCTCCGTTTCCCGGAATTTTTTCTACAATCACCTAAACCTGGTGCACTATATCTCATTATAACCCCAAACGCTTGCCTCCAACATCTAGAATCTAAATGGCGGAAACAAAGGCGTAGTCGTTCGTTTAAAAAAAATCCTCCTTGGTTCTGGAATAGTTTGGAAAAGCAAGCCAAAACTAGCACTAAATAAAACGAAGCAGTTGTCACCAGTGTGGATGCTCCCAGCGTCCGATAGGGTATAAAAAGTTAACCCCCTTGTCCTTAAAAGCGACCTATTGTAGAACGTTGCCGCTAACTTTGTTTTTACTTGCTCCTTCTTTATTATCAAACATCTATCGTCCTTATCTCCCCTCCCTCTTTTTTATGTTTGTTACTCTCTTGTAACACCTCTAATCTTCTGGCGCTCTTATAACCTTATGCAGTTGCGAGCGCCGTAAAATCTCTACTAAAACAAAACAAACATAACTTTTTTACATACGAACTTCAAACAAAATCGTGTGAAAATCGCTCTTGCTCAAACTCACAGGTATCCCTCCTGAGATAAGGCAGGCTGTAAGAGCTCTCCTTGCTAACTAAGATTCTTGTAGAGGCTTTGGCACCAAAAGGAATCTCGTACAAGTCAGAGATGAAACGGACAGAGCCCAAACCAGCTTTCAGTTGGTTCTTGAACACAGCAGAACCTGGAGATAATAACATGCATGGTAATTACGTTGATATCAGTTAGAAATCTCATGCTCTTCTTTTACTTTCTTCGTACACTGTATCTTTTTCGTTCTTTCTTTCTCTCCTCTCTTTTTTTCTTTAGCTCTCTCTCTCTCTCTCACTCTCTCTCTCTCTCTCTCTCTCTCTCTCTCTCTCTCTCTCTCTCTCTCTCTCTCTCTCTCTCTCTCACTCACTCTCTCTCTTTCTCTCTCTCTCTCTCTGTCTCTCTCTCTCTTTCTTTCTCTCTCTCTTTCTCTCTCTCACTCACACTCACTCTCTCACTCTCTCTCTCTTTTTCTGTCTCTCTCTCTCTCTCTCTTTCACTCTTTTTCTCTATCTTACTTTCTCTCACGCTCTTTCCCCTGAAACGTTGGCACTCCTACAATATTATAGTATGGACATATTTTTATCCATAATATGCCTATGTATATTATAATAATATTATTATTTGATATCTAAAACACATTTCGGCTTTGTTCCTGACAAGAGCACCAGATATGTTACATTCACCTTAATAATGTTAATGGAAAGATGTTTTGAAACACAGAAAGATCAGTATTTATGCTTCATATTATTCAAAGGCGTTCGATAAAGTAGACATGATGAGCTATTTAAAAGACTGGAAAAGCTAGACATAGATAGAAAAGAATTATCAGGAATTTGTACTGGGACCAAAACGCTGCTGTACAAATTAATGGAGAATACAGCAAATATAAGCAGATTAGAAGAGGAGTGAGGCAAGGGAGTGTGATGTCATCAGACCTCTTTAACATATACATTGAAACAATCCTATAGAAGAATATCCAGGTCTCAAAGTGAATGGTGAAAATATTTATAACATCCGATGTGCTGATGACACAGTTTTAATAGCAGACTGAGAAAAGGACCTCCAATCGCTTCTAGATACTGTTGTAACAGAAAGAGAACGTAAAGGATTAGTTTTGAATGTAAAGGAACAGAATACATGGTAATATCCAAAAAAGCAGCAAATCCTATTTGTATATTCATTAACGAAAGCGAATAGATCAAACATGTCCAACAGTTTAAATATCTAGGATATAAAATAACATCTGATTCCAAATGTTCCACAGAAATAAAAGGGAAAATTGCAATGGCTAAGGCTAGTTTCAATAAAATGAGCCCAATTCTGAAAAATAGAAGCATCTCAAAGACTACCAAAATGAAAGTTTTGAAATGCTGTGTATGGTCAACCCTCCTATATGGCTGTAAATGCTCTACAATCACTAAAGACAGTGAAAATAAAATAGAAGCAACAGAAATATGGTTCCTTAGAAGACTGCTAAGAATATGGTGGAAGGAAAAGAAATCAAATGAGGTAGTGCTTGATAAAGCCCACGAGGGACGCTCACTGTTAAAAACAGTCAGGAAACGAAAATGCAGTTTTGGAGACATCAGAATAGACATAAAGATCTTGAACATCTAGCTCTCACTGGCAGAATTGAAGGCAAACCTGACAAGGGTAGGCTAAGAGCATCCTACTTAGATAACCTAAACAAATGGATAATGGGGAAAGATCAGGGAAACGTAGCTTCTTTTGAGAGCATCCGAGCCAAGGAATGAATAGAGACCAAAGATCGCCAATGTAAGTCGCAGGCCTGACACTGGATGATGGTGATGATTATTTTTACTATCTATATCTCCATTTAGCTTAATGTGAGTGAGGCTGCAATATATCCTTATTATACTAAACAGACTTTGATACTAAACTAATTATAGATCATTGCATAGTCCGCAAAGAAAACGTCCAACTAACAAAAGTGCGACAACTCACTGGGGAGACACTGGCGCCACGTTGATGAGAGTCCCAGGGTGAATCTCTTGCAGGTGCCCTGAGCATCGAAGGTGTACCCTTGGTTCTGTGGAAGTTAGAAATGGTCGCTCTTAGGGACAAGCGGGCTAGCTCAGATTTCGGGGGTTTCCAGAATTCTTGACTTACACCAAAAGTGGGCATTTTCCTACGTGCAGGAGAAGTTTGATTTTATTGTGCGTGTATTTGTTTGGTTAAAGAGAAAACTCTCCTTGTCTTTTAAAGAAACTCAACAAGGGTCCAAAAACTTTACCTCGATATCCTCAAAAAAACATTTTACAGGATAGCCCCCTTGTACCTAAAAGCGACCAAATACAAAAAGCATAGACCTTACTCATATTCCAGAAAAGCTTTCAGCGGTAGACGCCTGGGCGAAGGTGAGTATCTGTTTTTCTGTGTAGGTTCTTGTCTCAGTATTTGTGATCACACTTGTGAAAGTGTGTATGTATGTGTGTATGTATGTATGTAGGTAAGTTGATAGGTAGGTAGGTAGGTGTGTATGTATGTATGTATGTATGTATGTATGTATGTATGTATGTATGTATGTATGTATGTATGTATGTATGTATGTATGTATGTATGTATGTATGTATGTATGTATGTATGTATGTATGTATGAATGTATGTATGTATGTATGTATGTATGTATGTATATGTGTGTGCGCACGTGTGTGTGTGTGTGTGTGTATGTATGTGAGAGAGAGAGAGAGAGTGTGTGTGTGTATGTGAGAGAGTGTGTGTGTGTGTGTGTGTGTGTGTGTGTGTGTGTGTGTGTGTGTGTGTGTTTGTGAAAGAGAGAGTGTGTGTGTATGAGAGTGAACGTGTCAGTAGGTGTACATAACTGTCTAAGAAGTATATTGCGTGTGATAATATGCATTTGTGTTTTTAAGTATTTGTTTATGTGTGTGTGTGTGTGTGTGTGTGTGTGTGTGTGTGTGTGTATGTGTGTGTGTGTGTGTGTGTGTGTGTGTGTTTGTGTGATTGTGTGTGAGTGTATGAGTGTGTTTCGCTGGATAATTTATAAGTGATGCTTTTGAGAATCCCTTGCCCTGTTCTTTTTAATTTTTGTTATATAATAAGACAAGATGCTTTATGGGTTTTAGTTTATTTGGGTAGGGTACAATCATGAACAAGAAAAGAGAAACTGTTAGTGCTTTAGTGTCTACTTACTTTAGCAAGGTCAATGACATGTCGGATTGTTCCGTTCTCAGCAGCAACCTTTTGCCGACCGAAGTCCATAGAGAAGTTGGCCGCTAGCTGTTGGAATCAGATGACGAAAGGATAAGACAACAGCAAACATATGTGTGATGCTCATTTTAATGGGAGAGAAAGGGGAGACAAAGAATAATAGAAAACTTTATTCTCTTGGATACAATACGTTGTCTAGTAGATTTAAATAAGACGTTTGTTTGAAAGAACGAACAAGTGGGGGAATTGAGGAGAATTTCAAGCACAACATGATCGCAAAACAGAACGTAAAAGCATTCCTAAACAGACAACCTTAAGACGTTAATAAACAAGAGATGTGCAGCATCTGTTTCAGCTCCTGTTGTTCAAATTTTAAATACATCTCAGAGTTGCAGAACTGTTTCCATACATTGTTAATTTTACAATTACAAAAAATCTTTCTCTCTTGAATATTAGCACTGAATATGGTCACAAAAGTATCAGCAAGCCTTAAGAGCTAAAACTTTTAAGATTATTGATTCCATTCAGCTATTCAGGGCTTTTTTCAAAACTTAATATTGATGTGATATTGCCATCTTAGAAGCAAAAGTCCCATAAGATGTTTATTATTTGAATGCTGACAAAACGACTTATCTTATTCATATGGTGTTAAAGTTGTTGTAATGTGATTTGACAGTTGTGAAGGGAAAGTGTCAGCTATGGCTCTCCCTTTCTGTTGAATAATAATATGTCCAAATTGTTTCTGTCGTACTTACTTCAGTGACGAGGTTGATAGCCACGCCAGAGAACCGCTGTGGCAGGCAAACTTTGGTGGGATCAGAAACCTGCTGGCTCATCACCAGAGGGGCGAAGACACAGAGAACTGCAAGGACGTTCATGATGCCTTTGGAAAGCAGATGCAATAAAATTACTCTTTTAATTAACAAAATGGCTTTGGGAATGATTATGATACTAACTGTATCCAAAGTATATTACATTTTCAAAACCAGTGTTCAAACTAAAATCCGAAGGTCTGTTAAACCTTAGAAAAGGAAACACAAAAGAAGACCAAGCCTCGTAGAACACAACCTCTGAGTAGTTGTTGTTAAAATGTTATAACTACATTGTCCCACAAAACTGTACAAAGAGCGAAGCGATAGAGATGTCATGTTATACATTTCGTCTACTGCTGTGCAAAAGTTGTTAGGAGGGGGGGGGGGGGGCTTTCGGACGGGATAAATTTTAAAGACAAGCAGTCTAACCCATCTTGCCCTACACCAGAAGTGGGCATTTCCTTACCTAAAGGAAAAGTTTGGTTTCGTTGATGTGTATATTTTTTTTTTGGTCAAAGAGAAAATTATTCTTGTCTTTTGAAGAAACTGAACAGGGGGTAAAAACTTTACCTTCAGTTTTCTCAAAACAGCATTTTTCGGAATAGCCTCTTTGTTCTTAAAAGCGACAAATTGTGACTACCAAATTTATACGATGAATCCCAACTGAGTCATCCCTGAAACTAACACAACATAATTATCACTTGAGTGGAATTGCGGAAATTTATTCCGTTCGAATACGCTACATCTCAATCTACGATAGGCTTCGTATTCACTCCCTGTAGACCACGGACTCATAGGCCAAAGCAACACGCCACAGACGGTGACATCGAACCTATATTTACAGGCAATCTGTGGACATCTCCAACAAAATATTGCAATCGAGAGACAAGTTCAAATTTTTAAATAAGGTTGGGAAGAGAACAAGACAGAGATATGCTCTAAGGGTTTCTATGACAATTTCTGTCGCCCCACAGAATAGCATCTTCCACGCTTAAGCATTGTGAAGCAGATTAGTCGACATAAACATCTTTTTGTAGAGTAACTCTCAATCGTACCCCCCACCCCCACCCCTACCCTCCAACGACAATTATAGCCCTGACGAAAAGGGGAAACAAGGATCTAGTACATGTAGTTCTCGAGAAAACCATGGCACCGCCAGCTATGACAAGATTTGAACCCAGTACCACTAGACTCAATATTCATACCAACACTATGCTACCAGTGCCAGACCTGGACATTAAGTAAAACCCATGAAAACAAAATCACTGCATGCGAAATGAAATGTTCTAAAGACAGAGAATAAAATGGTTTGGCCAACTGTTACGTATGCCACTTAGCCAACCAGCCACGAGGGCCAACAACACCAGGCACTCAGGCTATAAAGGAAGAGGAAGGTCACGCAAAAGGTTGATCGAGGGTGTCAAAGAAACCCTGAGAAAACAATATCACAACTGATGGAGTTGGCCTACCATAGAAAATTGCATCTCTTCTCGACGCTTAACGGCAACAGAGGATGAAAAAGTAAAAATAAAAGTAAAGAACCACTAACTAGACTAGATCTACTATTTCCGCACTCTACCGTCCACTCGCAGATGATCACTAGCCTCGGTAGATTCCCAATAACATGGAAGCTTGATGACATTTGAAATTGTTTGTTACTCACTCAAGTATCTGGAACCAGCAAGATCAGGCACGTTAAGGAATTGTTTAATTGTTATCAGAAAAGTGGATCTTTTTATAGCAGAGACAATAAGTTATTTTTTTAAATCGTGTTCGGTAGTTTTAGTTGGCCTTTTCATATTATGACTAAGCTAAATTGACATGATTATCTTAATAAGAAGTATTATGCACAATCATTCCAAAACGACTGGTGACTTAGCAATTTTTGAATGAAAAACCATCTACAAAAGAAAAAGGCAACTGTCTAATCTGGGTTGCCAATCTGCCGTGAGAAGAGAAGTGCATGTGACAGGTGGGAATGGAAAACAAAGTCTGGTCAGGCCGTAGTGCTGTATGTGTACCTCGGAACGCAATGTTGCTTTAAGGGTCAACTCAGTAAAAACAATTGATAAATTATGCGAGTTTAACATTCATTATCAGAAGTGATTTCAGAATTGTTACGTTCATCTCTGATCTAAACAAAGTGCAAGACCGCCACATTGGTGACTGACACAATAACACCGGCACCATAGTACCATAGTCACCCACGACACCAGCTACGCGCTATCAAAACGCTGGCACTGGTCTGCAATGACTATATACATGTACATATTAATCTGGTATTGTGTATCTAATGCTGGTGATGTTACCTTAAAACGAATAAATAATGAACAATTGAAAGTACTTTTGTTCTAAAATTCAGCCTCTTTTTTTTCATGGTGAAAGACAAAAATTTAAGCATTTAATTTAACTATTGCTTTTTCCGGCACCTGCACACTTTGTTAAAAATCCCCCTCGCCCTCCCCTTTTTCACCCGCCTCCCCATGTTTTATTTAAACTAGTGTTTTTTTTAAAAAGTGGACAATTAAAACATTCTTTGCTGTCTTTTTTTCGGGTTTTTAAATAATCAGGGCTGTCTGTCTAGGTGGTCCTTAACTTATGTTGAAGTCTGTATTAAGATAATAACCACCTTCTGAACGGGTAGTTTGAAACACCTGAACGAAGTGTAAGATTATTATTATCTATCAAATCAAGAGCAAACAGGTAGAATAGTTCCTTTGTACTAGTGTCTAACAAAGACTGCGACACCCCTCACCATTCAGGCAGCAGCAGCAGAGAGAGAGAGAGAGGGGG